CAATATAAATATGGGCATTTATCATGGCAACTGCAAAGGAGACTCATCTCTTTTGAAAACAAGGAAGTAGTGGTGGAAAACAGGTACGTTTTCAAGTTTTTTAGCCCTTTTGAGAAACAATAATGGTATTTCTTTTTTTTTTTTCCCCTCTTTTTTGGAGAAATATACACTTAGAAGGGGGTAGGTGGATAGCTAATATATTGATATTATGGTATCCTTTCATTTGTGATACATATGGTAGAGCTAAATGACTTCATCTGAAGTGTGTACACCCAAGTGCAGGTGGTCAAGTTGTACTAATAATCCGGTTAAGTCTAGAGTCGAATCCATAGGAAACTAACGGTAGTGTTTGAAGTTAAGATCAATAGAGACGAAGGTGAATGGAAAACATGAATTTAGGAGTTGTGATTATGAAGAAATTTTTCTAAACAAATTATACGATTAAATGGAAATAAAAGCCACTCTTTAGTTCGAGGATCCAAAAATATGTGGATGTATTCAGGTGCTTTATTTTTGCAGTATTAATTACTCAATTAACCCCTACGCCAGTAGCAAGTTACTAGGAGGATAAAGATGAAATGTGTGAATTAATAGCATGACTTCGATGTCTTTGTAGAAAATCATAAGAATTATTTATGCTGAGGCTTAACCCGTCTATAAACAATCAAATCATTCTACAAAGCATCCAACATTAGTTAAGTTATTCAATCATAAGTTAAGGCACAATGTAAATGAAGATTTTAAGTGCTTGATTTGTTTCTCTTGCTTCCCACACGAACCTGATTATGTGTATGGCTTATAATGAAGGGTGAGTGTCACTCTTACTCAAGCTCATGTAAGATGCGAGGAAATTGTGTGTGGATGAACAAAAATGTGTGTAAATATGCAAAAATGCTCCCCAAGCATAGAGACACTTATAGTGTCGTGTTTTAACTCGGAAAAAATTTCGAGGTCGTCTCCTTAGGGAATGATAGGTCAAGTATTTTTTAAAGTGAATTGTTAAAGGGAAAAATAGAAAATATTGTGATATGAAGTTTGACGGTTTGTATTTTGAAAAATTTGCAACTAGAAAAAGGGTTGGCTAATCCATAGAGTTCATTCCAATGAGTATATGCCAAATCAATTCATTCCATTCTACCAATGGTGCCTAGGTATTTGATTGATTCGTAGGAAACAAGAGATGAATGTAGCTGCTTGGACAAGAGCATACCCTGTGACAATTCTATGTTGTATCAAAAGCCTATAACCACATTCATCCGCACTCAACCTAGTCAAACCAAACACTTTACACTACGAAGAAAAATGAAAGAGAATTGATTCCACATATCCAAGAGGAAATTCCCCTTGGATTAGCCAACTAAGGGTTCAGCTACTTATGACAAAGGTAAGAACAAACATGAAAGAGAAAAGCATGATAATGAAATCAAACATGAACTTGTATTACTGTAAGAGAAAGTTTAGACTACAAAGGAAATGACATTCATACTCAAAATGTAAAACTTGAAGAGAAAATACCCAATTGCAAACAATGGAACTATTAAACCCTAGCTAAACTCAATACAATTTGAAATAAATGAGATTGATGAGCTAGAATAAAGGTTTACATGTAGATTGAAGTTTTCAAGAATGAAAATAGTGAAGGAAAATCAAAAAACCCTAGCTTTCTCTCTCCAGAACTACCTTCTTCTTCCTTGGAGCTTGTCTCTCTAAAACTAAAAATTATCTTCAAAAGTCCAGTCCAATTTCGTCCATCCTCCTCTCTCTACTCTTGAGTGTGCAGCAAAGCTTAGGTGCTTTGGGAAGAGGTTATCCAAAAAGGCTTCCAAAATTAGACAAAAGGCATGGCCCCTTTTGTTTTCCAAATCATTCTCTTTTCCTTTCTCCTTTCATTAACCATTTCCACTCTTTCATGCATAAAGGTTGAATGCAATGGTTAGGAGACTTTGGTGGAGTGTTGAAATGGTCAAAACATTGAGTAGATAAGTAGAAGTGGGCCCTTGTACCTTGTAGCTTGTAGCTCTGGGTATTGGTACCAATTGATGAGGTATCGATACCCTGATGGTAGGTACCAATACCAATGATTCTAGGTATTGGTACCTACTCCTTTTCTTCAAGTTTTGAACAACTAAAGTACAATGCCAAGTACCGGTACCTAGACAAGAAGGTATCGGTACCTAAATTCCAATAGGCTCATGTACCGGTACCAAATGATGCCAAGTACTAATACCTCCTCATTTTCTTGATATTTCTACGTTTTGCATGCCCGAGCGCTTCTTCCTGGAGTTACTTCTTTGCCCATTGTCCCCAACTCATTGAAACACGATAGAATCTTGTATTTTACTGTTTGATGTGTTGCAAATCATATAGTTCTTCATGAATCGCCAATTTAAACCAATTTCCAAAAATTCATTACAAAAACAAGTAAAAATGGATGTAATAAGGCTATTAAATGTGCAATATTCCACACTCATCAGTAAGATCGTCATGAAGACCTAGATTGGGTACTTGCAAGGAATTGTCAGAATCACTTATGTCAAGACTTTGCTTGTCTATAGGCTATCAACAATTGTACAAAGTAATTTAGCTTTGCTAAATGCATTTCATCATTCAACATATAAAGGAAAAGATAAGATAGTAAGGATAAATGAAGTGCACAAATATAACTTCCAAAAAATACTTTACATGTCTTTCACCTCTTACTAAAGAGTGGATGAGAAACTACTCACTTTTCATGACTTTGAGGAAGTTAGAAAAATGAGTGAATCTCATCCCTCTGAGTAGAGGAGCTTTAGAATTACAAAGGTAAAATTACAAGAAACATAATGCTTATCTCCAACAAAGAATGAGTGAAATACTACCCACCTTTCAAGGCTTAGAAAGGTAAGAGAGATTCACTCCTCCTAGGTGAAGGAAAAAGCTACACAAATGAAAGCTAATGAAAGTAATACTAGAAGAGTTGAAGAAAAATAATTAATTTGGAGAGTTCGTTGCACTTCCCAAAGTAGGTTCTTGGACTGAATACAAGGTGGTATTTATCAGAGGAGAGGGCTTGAAATCTAGAGCTGAGGTAAAAAAGGTGAGATCTTGTAGTTTGGACTTGGTGTTCGAATGCTCTGTTAAATTTTTTGGGGATTCTATTTGTTGGGTTGCTGAGGCTAGATGCCGTTCGAACGCCATGTATCCCATTCGAATGCCACATATGTTGAAAGCTGCCTAAACAGTTGAATGTTGGATCCTGTCTGATTCTTGCAGCTAGTCCGTTCGAACGCTCTAGGCCCCATTCAAATGCATGGAAAAAAGACTTCATTTTAGCCTCATAAGTCTTCATGGCCAGATTCCTTGCTTTCCTTTGTCTCACTCATGTCAAATTGGCTTACCTTATCCGCAAATCATGACATTATCCCTATACAAGCATCACACAATTAAATGACCTTAATTTTATCTCCTTAAATCAAAACGTATGTAATTAACCGATCCGATGGATGTTTCAATGTTATTTCTAATGGTTAATGATACCCCATGTCTCTAGTAATTAAAGATAAAACTTAATTCAATACATACAAACAAAAGTATACGATTGCATTTAGTGTATGCAATAAGCCATTAAACCATTAGGTTCCCCTTAATGGACGTGTTATCTCGTGAAGGTTTCTAGTGAGGATGCTTACAAACTTTAACTGCATGTCAACAATAATTGGGATGACCTATTAGATCCATGTTAAACCAATGTTTAACTCTCGACAATAGAAGCACTCCAAGTTATAATGAATTAAGTATTCACAATGCTCATATATGAGGAGAATCATCAAAAAAAAAAAAAATATGACCCGCAAATGTTTAGTCTCAAAGACAGTTAATTGAATGAACGAATTTAACATAATCTCATGAAAAATATTAGCTTAAAGAAAAAGCAAGAATATTGACACATGCATAAGTATGGGGAGCATTTGTACACAGACATTTCCCTTGAGATAAAATAGGACTTTTTTCTCGGTTGTATCTTGGCCATAGGGTGAAGGTTATAGAATTGAAGGGTTTCAAAGTATTTCAAAAGAGGTTAATCCAAATTCGTCATGTTCTTATGACACTTCTCTTACTTTTTAGAGGAATTTTGGCAATATACTATTCTGCATAACCCTCTTTTCCTTCATAGCCTTTGTCTTTTCAAAATCTTTCTAGGATAGTTATTTTTTCCTTCTTTCTTTCTTTTTCTTCTTTTGATCATAATATTTTCTTTCCACTTTCCCCTTTTTTGTTCTTTTAAAGATAAATTCATGACATCAACATCAGGGTAAACCAACGTAAGGAATAGTGTTCATATGTTTGGCTTGGAATAAACATGGTTAAGAATGCAATTTTAAATTATGGCTCAATCGTGGCTTTCTAGGGATCATAAAAGAAGAAAATGGCTAAGGCTCAGTGTAATCAAAGATGTCCTATAATAATTTCTCAAGAAAATGCAAATGTAATTTATATTTTTGTAGGATCATGTCAATAATATGCTTCACACTGACTAACCAAAACAAGGATAATGAGATTATTGAACGAACTCGGCAGAAATGGAATTCAAGCTTCCAAGGAAAGATGTCATCCAACAAAACTCAAAACTAGCATAATAATGTGTACATATTGTGAGTTTTAAATAATAATATGAAAATGACATCTAAACTTAGGATCACTTCCTATACACTTGCCCGGAGATAGATTCGGAGTAGGTTAGTCCTTATAAAATCACATGTTAACAAGATTTCACAACTTATCCCAATTGTTCACAGACATCAAGTACTATGTAAAAAAATAAAATTAATCATGCAATCAAAAACCAAACTAAAGCAATAACCCAAATATTAAACTTCATAGCAAACCAAAACTAATGCTACTCTAGCATAAACAAAATCCAAGTCAAACAGTCACATCATTAACCATAAAAGCATTCTCCAACAGAAACATAGTTTAGCTATTAATCAAAAATAGAGGGAGGAAAAGTGATAAGCAAGTCCTCATGCGGATGAGAAAGGCTCAGCACCATATTTGTGCCTTAAAATACTGAGTATCTCCTTCTGATTGTCTTCGTAATGGCCCATCCTATCCTCAAGATCCCCCAGTCTTCGATCCATTCCAAGGATGATCTCCCTCTTAGATCTCACATCTGGTTGTTCCTGTGTGGGTTGGCTCTCCCCAGGCTGTGCACCCTATTCATGATGAATTTTTCCCTCGTGCTGGTCATCCTCCTCCCCTGCCTCTTTTTCCTCATCTTGCCTAGTTTCCTCCACTAGCTCCGTCCTTCTAACATTTTGGGTTTGACTCTTCTTTTACGATCTTGCAGTCAAAGGTCCCATCGACTTCTCAACCTCCTAGCCAGAGTCAATCCTTATTCCCCTCTTTGCACACATTTACATCACTAGGCACTCAAAAGGAAGTGTTTCCTTTTTATCATCCACAGCAAGAAGCATCTCATTCAAAACCAATGTGGGCAAATCAATGGATTGTCCAATTCTAATAGCAAACAACAACCAAGCCCTATCAGTATAAACCTCATTCTTCCTACTTTGTGGCACGAAATTCATTACAGAAATTAGGCTCAACATTTTATACTTGTCAATTAATTCCCCTTGAGGCAAAGAGCTTCGACATCCCCACACGAACCCACCATTCCCAATCAATTCTCTTCCCACAACATCCAATTCAACAGACACCATTGGGGGATACTCAGGATTCTCCACCGTAAGCGCATTCCTAAACTCAAGAATTGTCCTAAGGTTCACAAAAATCCCCTTCCCTCATACACTAGTGTAAAACCCATCTCCTTCCACCATTATGGCATTCACATAGAACTCCGATACAAGCATTACAACCCCTTTCCCTTCATTTTGTAAAAATTGCCCCCATCCACGCTTATTCATGATTTGATCAATACCTAAACTCACAAAGTCATTCAATATGATATTTGTTTCAACAAAAATGGGTTTAGTTTTGAATAAGGTTTCATACCTTTCGAATTGAGCCTAATTCTCAAATCGGCTACTGTCGTACCTCCTTCGAATTGACTCTCCACCTTCCATAGTCACCTCCTCCTTGATGAAGTTTGGTCCTTCATTCACCGAGTTAAAACTCTTCCTAGATGTAACCCTGAATCTCCTTGTAGGCATTTTCGATTTTGAAGTTTTTGGGGTTCAAAAATGGCAAAAAAAAAAATATTCGGTGAGAGTGTAAAATTCTTGGTGAAATTGAGTTTGGATGGAGGATTTGGGTGAAAAACTAAATGGGAGGTGAAGATTTTGGGATGGGTAGGTGTTTTCGCAACCTAGAGTTTAGTTTTGGGGAAGTTTTGGCCTTGCAAAATGGCTGGAGAAGATGATTTAGCTTTTAAACTCCGATAGTGCGTTCGTTCGAATAGACTTAATTGAATTCGGACGCTTTTTTGAAATTTTTATTGGCTTCCGAACAGTAATGAGTGCATTCGAATGCTCTGCTAAATCTCTATTTTTCTACAGTTTTCTTCAAGATGTTGTGAGCAAACCCCGTTTGAACGTGAACAATGCGTTCGAATGGTTTTCAAAAAAAAAATTATTAGAAATCTAAAAATTTTAAACACAATTATTTATTTATTTATTATTATTTTCAGTTTTACATCTAAGGATTCGAACCATCGACCTTCATTCCTATGCGCTAGACAATTTAACCATACCAGTTGGATCCTCAAGTCCAATCAATTCTATTGAAAATATATTAATTTATCTTGCCAAATTTGGTCATGGCAAAGAAAAATTTTTAATCCGATTCTTGCTCAATCTCCATTATGTCTGCCAGTTACAAAGACAATTGAACCTGCCGAAAAAAATTTAGACACATGAAAAATTCTAAAATGTATATCCAAAGTACAAAGTACTTCCCACCCCTACCTCCCAACCTAAACTCAACATTGTCCTCAATGTTTTGATTTTGGAAAAAATTTCTCGAGTTTGTAACGCTTGCCAATTAGGTATGGAATGGGCCTTTAAAACATTTGTCCATTGTTTAGTTTTGTCCTTTAAAGAGAAAGACAAAAGTTTCAACTTGGCAGTTCAGAATTATCTTGGAACCTCCCACATACTACCTCGAAATCTTTCACATGCAAGTATGGGTTTTTTTATTTTGAGTCCATGAAATTGAGGTAAAAGTTGCACTGTAATAGGCTTTATTGTGAAGTTGTGCATTTGTAGGAAACACAAAACAAGAGGGGACACTATTCTGTGTGGGATATAAATACTCCCTTAGAGTTTGTACGTTAGGAAGTTTCTCTTCTCTCTGATTATTAGCCATATTATTATCAAAGGGGTCTGCAACTAATCAAGGTGTAGAGGATTCAAATTGATTCACAGACCCAATTGATTCTTTTGGCAAATCTTGAAAGACAAGATCCCCGTCAGACATAAAAATAAAGAATTATATATAGAAAAACAAAATTATATACAAAAAGTATAAATGTCTATTCACTTTTTACTTCAAACTACCGCAGGTTTTCCGGTAATAGCGCAAAAAACTTGACTTGATCCAAAATGTGTACACACAAATGTAGGTGATCAAGTTAAAATAATAATCTGTTTAAGTCTAAAGTCGAATCTACAGGGAACTAAAGTTGGTGTTTGAAGTGAAGATCAATAAAGATGAAGGTGAATGGAAAGCATAAATTTGGGAGTTGTGATGATGATGAAATTTTTTAAAACAAAATATACGATTAAATGGAAATAAAAGCCAGTCTTTAGTTGAAGGATCCAGAAATGTGTAGATGTGTTCGGATGCTATATTTGTGCAATATTAATTACTCAATTAACTCTTATATCAGTAACAAGTTAATTGGAAGATAAAGACAGAATATGTGGATTTAAGAGCATAACTCTGATGTCTTAGTAGAAAATTGTAAAAATTGCTTATGCAGAGACTTAACCCATCTATAAACAATTAAATAATTCTACAAAGCATCTGATATTAGTTAAGTTATTCAACCATAAGTTAAGGCACAATGTAAATGAAGATTGTAAGATCGTCATGAAGACTTAGTTTGGGTATTGTAGGGAATCATTAGAATCAACTATGCCAAAATCATTTTAGCTTTGTTAGATGCATTCAATCATTCAACGTATAAATGAAAAGATAAAACAATAAGCATAAATAAAGTGTACAAATATAACTTCCGAACAATACTATACACATGTCTTTCACGTCTTACTAAAAAGTGGACTCTTCATGACTTTGAGGAAGTTAGAAAAGTAAGTAGAATTACAAACGTAAAATTACAAGAAACAAAATGCTTATCTCTAACAAAGAATGACCAAAACACTACCCATTCTTGAAGGCTTAGAAAGGTGAGAGGTTCACTCCTCTAGTTGAAGGAGAAAGCTACACAAATGAAAGCTAATAAAAGTAATACTAGAAGAGGAGAAGAAAACTAGGTAATTTGGAGAGTTCTTTCCAGTTCCCAAAGTTGGTTTTTTGGAATGAATACGAGGTAATTATAGGAAAAAGGGCTTGATATCCGAAGCTGAAATAAAAAATGTGAGATCTTGTAGTCTGGACTTGGCGTTCAAATGCTCTGTTGAATTTTCTGGGGATTCTATTTGTTGGGATGTTGAGGTTGGATACCATTCGAACGTTATGTATCTCGTTTGAATGCTCTAGACCCCGTTCAAACGCATGGAAAAAAGTCTTCATTTTAGCTTCATAAGTCTTCATGGGTAGATTCCTTGCTTTCCTTTTTCTCCCACATATCAAATTAGTTTACCTTATCCTGCAAATCATGACTTTATCCCTATACAAGCATCACACAGTTAAATGGCCTTACTTTTATCTCCTTAAATGCAAAATTTATCTAATTAACCAATCCGATGGATGATCCAATGCTATTTTTAATGGTTAATCACATCCTCCAACCTGAATATTACTTGTCTCTAGTAATTAAAGATAAAACTTAATGCAATATATACAAAACCATTTTCGAAGGTGATATGATTGCATTTAGCATATGCAATAAGCTATTAAACCATTAGGTTCTCCCTAATGGACGAGTGTTGTCTCGTAAAGGTTTCTAGTGAAGATACCTCCAAACTTCAACTGCATGTCAACAATAACTGGGATGACCTATTAGATACATGTTAACAATGAGATTAAAATAATGTCTAACCATAAACTCGATTATAGGAATTCATACTAAACAAAGATTTGCTGAAGACCAGACTGTCTTGATGTGCACAACGCAAGCATGGATACTTAGGAAGATCAGATTGTGGATACTAAACCAGTAACCTTCTGATCACTAGTCTCAGAAGCTTATGCAATACTTTGATGATCAACTATTCTCAGCCCCAAGAATCACTAATTTGACACCCTTTTCCCTTGATGTACCCTCATTCGATCTCACTGCTTGGCAGAAGTAATATTTGTTTGCAAAGCGACGTTGTATACATCTTAATTTTTCTATAGGAGTTTTCTGAAGTGAGGGAAACAATGGACGATGATCGGGCTCATGGAGAGTCGATGGATGAGTGTCAGTTTGATGCACATATTTTTGAAAATTCCACAAAGGATCTTAGTGGACTTACTGATATGTATTGGATACTAGTAATAACCCGTGCTAAAGGGTTTTAATTAAAATAATTAAAATTAATCTAACCTTCGCCATTTTTAAAAAAAAAATTCAACCGAATTTCCTCTAAAAACAAAAGCTTAGGGAAATCTCAACCTATGTACAAAGCTTATATATCTCATTGTGTATCATTGCCCAACACAAACCATTGTATAATGAATTTCAAGAATACATTACTCAATCTAATTCAAAGACCATCATATTTTAGTCACTGCACAATCCAAACCAAACTAACATTTATATCATAATAACAAAAGTCATAGTCGAAATGAAAAAATAATTGACCAAACAATTTTCAACCAAACTACCAGTTGTGCACTCCGATGTGACAGAAAGACTTGAACATCTTCCAACCAATTCATGAATCTGATCTGTAAAAATACCAATGCCTGACTAAGAGATAGGAAAAATAGGAAATCCCACCTATAGTCAAAAAACAATTAGACATCCCATATGTGGCAACTATTGAAGGAAAAAAAAAACAATAGAACAAAAGCGACGATATAAGATAGAATCAATTGAATTAACATGACCCCAAAATCAAACACAAACCATGTGCGACATGACAGTGCTGATGTAAATAATAAAGTAGTTTCATTTTCTAACTTTATTCTTATGTAAGTAATATAGTAGTTTCATTGTTTCGTATGTAACTTAAGTAGTGGCAGATGGTGGTGGGGTAGTGGTGGTGGTGGTTGTGTTTTTTATTTTGGTTGTGGTTGCAGATATGTTTGTGCTGTTGGCTATTGTAATATTGTACATGCAGGTTAAAATGATTTTGGTATGGTCAATTTTTTAGGGAAAACTCTACCCAAATTTTTTGAAATGCATACCATCATTTAATACTATTATTTTGTTGAACTGAGACTATTATATTGTTTTGATTGTTATGTTGTGTGTTCAACTCTACCTAAATACTTTTGATAACATATTATAATAAATGATACATGTTATTTAAATTGAAAATTAAAGTGCATATAAACTACTATAGCTAGACACACATTAGTATGAACATAAAACATAACTAGAGCTATAGACGCACATTAGTAGGAGCATAAAACATAAATAGAGCTATAGACACACATTAGTAGGAACATAAAACATATAGAGAGCTATAGACGCACATTAATACAACCACTTGGAGGATAAACCCACATATGGGTTATTGATCAATTAATCTTCATCATGGGAGATTTCTTCGTTTGACATTTCAATGTCAAAAACACATTCTGCTTCCCCACTTAACTGTAAGCATAAACAGGTTTCTTCTAGCAAACCTTCTTCAATACAGTCTCATGCAATGCGATGGAGGTTGTACCTATTTAACCGTATTGTTAGACGATTTTTTTCAACTCAAATACGAAACAATGCACGTTCTAATTGTTAAGGAGCGTGAATAGGCATATTCATGGCAATTTGACGAGACCTGCCAATTGCAAGTGCACAAATCTTCACTTCGAACTTCCCTTTCATTGACACGATTTTGTAATTCCTCCGTCATTGTATTAATGGACCTTTAAGAGAAACGTAAATGAGGATTTAGAGGATAGAAGAATTCATCCTCCAACGCCCAGTGCTGACCCATACTTTCAAACAAGGTGAGTACACTATACATGTTTGAAGTTAATAAGTATACAACGTGGGCGTTTACGCACAATGAATTTATAGTGACATTGTAATGCATTTGTGGTCATTGTTTTGCTAGCTATGGCAAAATAGCTGGAGATGAGGTCATGTGTTTGCAGGTATAATGCAATGTATGCATCTTGCAATTATGGCCCTTAAAATGAGCATTGAAACATGACAGTGCCAACAAATGTCGAATTGATAAATCAATGAATGATATGACTACTCTTACTGACTTGACCCCATATTGTCAGTACTAACTATTCTGTGTTAAGTCATGATTGTGTCACAGCAGATATTAAATTGACAAATCATTGAATGATATGACTACTCTTACTGACTTGACCCCACAGTGTCAGTACGGACTATTTTGTGTTAAGTCATGATTGTGTCACAACATACGTTGAATTGACAAGTAATTAAACGATATGACTAATCTGAATGACTTGACACCATGGTGTCAGTGTCATAAGTGTTTGGTCAATGTCATTGTTCACCACAGTGTTAATATCCAGTTCAATGCTTTCAGTAAGTTTTGATAATTTTTTAACATTTTCCTATCCAATAAATACTTTTATGTATGTATACACATTTGTTCAGAGTATAAACCTTATGATAAAATGTCAATAAGATCATCATTCGGGTTTTTAAGCCAAACAAACGATGAGTCAAACTCCACCAACCAACGACAACTTCATGGTGCACAACATCATCAAACTGCTTCATCATTTAGTTTGCCAAAATTCGGTAACTACACAGATCCCAGTGGAGTAACGTGGTATGGAAACTTGTGTTACTTTCAAAATGAGCCGATTAACATTCACAACCCTTTCACTGAAGTTGGCCATGTGATGATTGGACCTACAACCATTGTTCCGCCTCTAAAGTTCTATTATCACCTACAGGGACTAAGGTGGTTGAAATCTTATATCAAAAGCTATGAGCATGAAGTATATTGTTGTTGGCATGGATTACGAGTGCCAAAGGCACGTTCAATTGCAATGTGCATGGAATGGTGCACAAATAACTACGATGATATCATTGCAAGACTTGAACTTGAGAATGATCAAATGCAACGACGTCTACATCGATTTCACCTTATCAATAAGGCAAAGATTGAACATTCAGATCTTGCCAAGGCTATTAATGCAATAAAATATGATCCATTACTAGCTTCTAACAATGAACTTTCTAACTTTGAAGATTCAAGTGATGATAATGATTATAAAAAATTTCTCCCTGTTACTCTGTGTGTACATGGCAAACCACTATGTTGTTCGGAGCATGGGCATCATTAGAAATATTTTGTTTAATGCCTCGAGGTAGTGTGGAACAAAAATCTTGTATTTCTATTTCAGATAAGTAAATAAAGTGTCTTCATTTTGAAGGCTTTTTTCTTAGTTGTGGGGTTTTTTTATTCACTGGGTACATGAAAAAGCAGATTTACAATGAAAGCGGATGTTTTTTTATTCATTGAATATAATTTAATGAAAGTGGATTCATCAAAGACGCTTTCATTAAAAGCATTTTTCTTGAATCCGCTTTCATTAAAAAGCGGAATCAACATATCCACCTTTAGGAAGGAACATTATTGGAATTGAAGACATTGAAAAGCGTATATAATGAATCCACTTTTTAATGAAAGCGGATTCAAGAAAAATGCTTTTAGGTCCCTTTAAAAGCATTTTTATTGACACCCCTTTAAACGTGAACGCAGATTCAATAAAAACACTTTTATGTCCCTTCAAAAGTGTTTTTATTGATTTTGTTTTAAACAAGAAGTTGGATATGTTAAAGACGCTTTCTAAATGAAAGTATACTTGTTTAATCCGCTTTGAAAAAATGTCGTAAATTGGTAATTAAGTTCAAAAATGCCGTAGAATGATAAATATGTTTGAAAAGAACTATATTTTGGTAATAGACTTGTGTGTGACATGGGTTTTGGGTAACGTGTAGGGGTTGGTAGCGTGTAATAGACATTAAAGCTTTGGGCAGGATATTTTTTTAGGTGGAGATGGATTATGCATCGTTGGATGAGATTAGATGAAATCTAAATCATTTAAATAAAATTAGATTTAATCTGAACCGTGCTTGAGTTTTCCCAACTTTGAGAATTCAAAATCTACTCTAATTATTATAGATGTCTTTTATTTTTGAAAATTCTCCTTTTGTACTCAAATTCATTTATATCTCGGGTTTATTTTTGAGAAATCTCTGTGACTCAATGAGAAGAACAAGGTAGTTTTGATTGACGATTAGCATGCCCACTAATTTCCTTTTATCTTGATGTTAATAACAACTTGGACTTGTGAGCAGTAGGAGCTGTAGATTTTTCTAGTAATCTCCCTATGGATTTTTGGGCAGATGACCTAATTCTCTCTTTTTCTCATTACAGTCTGACTCTTTAGGACTGTTAGATTTGGATATACCTCCCAGTCCCTGTAGATACTGTAGCGACAATCTAATTCTGAGTGATAGCTTCAGCGGTTTAAACCACCTTATGGCCAGCAATCTGGATGCGTTTCAAAATTGGTTATTCTTTGGGTTGTACAAGAAAGAAGCAACATTAGCAGTTGAAGCTCAAGACACTATGCCCTTTTCGAGTTATAAAATTGGCAGTGAAGTTTGAGATATACTTAGGTGGAGCACAGAGAAAATTCTGGGCAACCTGAAGGGAACTGGCTTTATTGTTGGATCTGTGAGGCTTGCTTCATTCCCCAGTACAGTACAGATGACTTGAGGGACTTGGAAAGGGGCTCTTTGAAATTGCCCCCTTGTACAAAAATGTGGATAATCTTCCCCAACTGCTAATCATGTGATCTTATGAATCATACACTATGGTAAGATTGATGCTGATGTTCAGGATCTGCTTACACAAATAAGGTTATCTGGATGAAGGCCCCCCTTGGAGGATTGACACTTGATTCTTTTCAATGATTTATTTGGACAGGTAATCATAAAGGATTTTTTTTGGAACTCCTTTTGGACTAACATAAGCTTATGATACATTAGGTATTATGAAGGATCGAACTGGACAACCCCGTCCATTCCATATCTACCTATTCGGCCTTTGGAATAATTATAGTAATAATGTCTCCTTATTATATTTAGTTAAAGTATTAAGAAGTAGTGGAGGTCTACATTTATCAATCTAGTATTTTGTTTGGATAGAATATTGAATAATTGTATAAACATTAAATTACTAAAGAACCTTCAAGATAAAGAGTGGTATTTATATCTTAGAGATTCTTGAGGGTAAAAATGTCTTTTGACTAAATACACCCCAATTGGATTATTTAAATTCATAAAAAATATGGGTTTATTTAAGAGGTATATGTAGTCTCAAATACAACATTCATCCAATTCGGTATTATTTTTAGGTGATAATATCAGGTTCAAAATGTGTATCTAAACATGAGTATAAGAGAGATAAGATGGGTCCAACGTTATTTTTTTCAATTCCTCCCTAATACCTAAGGCTGTCAATTTTTGACACGACACGAATTGAACCCGATATTAATGGGTTGAACACGAAATTAAACGAGTTAATAGGTTAAAATGGGTCAAAACGCTTAAATACAAAAAAAAAATCATGTCGGGTTCATGTCAAATGATTAACCCGTATATTTTACACGGGTTGATATGATTCGGACACGAATCTGACCTAACCTATTGTAAACCCGTTTAACTCATTTATGGTAGTATAATTTGCCTATTATGTATGACTAAAGTGGTCTTAACATTATTACTTATTAATTTTTGCTTCTACTATTATAATTCACAATATAATTCTTAATATTATTATGACAATATACTAGTATAGTTCTTGTTTTAATTTTTGGGTTGAAACTTGAATTCATTTTAGTTAATTTCATTGATGAGATGTGATATGTTATTTGTAAAAAAAATATTTAAAATTTTGGATGAATGATTGAATGATGTATTTAATGATAATGAACTAGTGTGAAACATGTTATGTGTGTTAAACAAACATGTGTTATGTGTGCCAAACAAGTTAAATAAATCATGTAATTAATGCTAACGCGAAAACGACCTGTTTATTAAACGTGTCAAAGAGGTCGGGTTTGGGTAACCTGTTTAATGGTCAAGTCAGGTTAGTGTTTACACATCTTGATATGATTATTAAAGATGTCAGGTTTGAGTTTTGAGATTTTCGACACAAATTCGAAATCAACCCGACACGTTTGATACCCGTACTAATACCTAAAGCAAACACACCCTATAAGGGCTTGTTTGGATGAATTTTGGGGAGGGGTTTGGATTAACTTTTTCAAACTCAAACCCAAACCCAAACTCAAACCCTCTTTATAAAGATGAGATTCAACATTCAATCCGGTTCATACTCATGTTTGGTATGCAACACATAAACATATTGGACACACGGATATATCATAATTATTAATAATTATTTGTCCTCTAAATGACTAATTTACCTTTAATCAATTCAATTCATACACATGTTAAGGAGAACATTTATCTTTTAGATCTTTAACCCCTTACCCATCTTCCCAAACCCACCTCCCCCTAGTCCCTACGCTTGACGAAACTCATGATCATGAGTTTAATATTCGGATCAACTACGAGGTTGGATTTGGAAACTCAAGATTAATTTTTTTATACAAACATGAGATATGAGAGAACTTTAAACTATTTTTTTCAAACTCATCTTAGCATACCCCATACCCCCTTACCAAACAGTCATAAGGGTTTTGAGTTTAAAAATGTATGATTGCCAATTATTTCTCTCTTAGATACTCTTATTGCACATGTAACAGTTGACGGTTGGATTTTGCCATTTGTTATGATCATGGACATGGAAAACTAAGCCCCCCAACACTACCGCGCAAAACCCCAAAAAAAAAAAAGAACCAATCAACCCCAGGTGTTTGTCTTTGATTGCCAACTTTTGTTACAAATAATTATCAATAGGTATTGCAATATGTGTTTCAGCTCCTTGTTTTCACTGGCTGATGATGACCGGCTGGTTTGGACCATAAAAATAGTATCACCCAAGAATGTTCGGCACTCAGCAGATGATTAATCTTATAAGATAAATAGCATGACAGGTACTTGTGTGGATCAAAATATTTCAACTTACGTAATTTAATCTGTGGTTATATATAAATTAGAGGAGAGTCTAATTCTTGTTTTGAACTTGCTGATCTAAGTTACTTTCCATTGGGTGGGGAATGAATTTCATTTTTTTTTTTTTTGAACTTGGGGAATGGATTTCATTTAGTGTTGGATTTTCTGTTAGTTGAACACCAATAGTGAATTACATGAATAAATTAGGTTTACGTAGTTGTTCAAATAATTACTCTTGCCTAATAATATGGGATACACACCAAACATTAGTGATACCAACCTAAAATTGGTTGTTGGTACCATGAAATTCCATCTCACATAGTTCATGTAAGAAATTCACCAAATGTCTTAGCTATACCAACCTCAAATTTGTTCCATCAGAATCTCTTTGTCCTCTGTTATGAGAAACCCACCTAATATTGGGGAGACCAACCTAACCTACAATTTGGTACCATGAGCTCTATTCCATTATTTAGTGTCAAGTTGTTTATAATTAATAAATAGAAAATGAGTCACTTCTGGGTTTTTTAAAAGCACAAAATAGGGGCAGCATTCATGAAATACTATATAAAACTCCAAAAACGACAGAGAAAGAACCATGCCCACGTAAGCTAGTGGTCCCACATAGTGATAGAAACACTATGCTTTCTAATTTCTAGAGCTCCGATGCCATGTGTTCAATCTGTATTGCTCACAATAATAGGAGGAACATTTCTTCGTTCTATATTATAATCATTGAAGCTTGAACAAATACATGGACACCCTAAAATTAATGCTCAACTTGTTGATTGTCCTGTCTTCTGTCATTTGTCAACAAAATGAGGTAAGAGGGCATGTGGCTAGCAAAAAGAATAGGACAGCTTATCATCCTTCACACAGCAGCCAAATATGACCACTCTAACAATTTCGTCAAGAAATTATCCTGACACTAAACCCAGTGTCCATTCTGGAAAAAGGCAATGATTCTTCATTCGAAAACCTTGAAAAAGTTACATTGAATTGAGCGGAGTACTAGAGTTGCAATTTAACTGTGTCAAAATAAATTATAATTGAGTAGGGTTCAAACCAATTGTGACCTAATTCATCTCATTGAAATTTAGGATCAATTTTAATTGATCTCATTAATTCGTAAACCGAACATTAATTTTTAGTACCGTAATCTCATCTCTTTGTATGTTTATCAGCAACTAATCGATGTGATCATTCAGTTTCAAATGCCTCGCTAGCATTAGATACCCTAATTGGATGCTTCTCACCCTGCGGCAGTGTACATGGTAAGGGTAAAATAAAACCTTAATTTTATTTCTTCAGACCAATGGTACAATC